TGGACAGTACGCTGCTTAAAAACAAACAAACTGGTAATTAAATTGAATTCAGGGCCTTTGTACTGAACTACATCCCCGTCCCTTTTTGTATTTTTTATTTTGAGGCAGGGTTTCACTAAATCACCAAGTTACCCAGGGTTGGCTTGAACTTTTCAATCCTGCCCCATCCTTCCCAGTAGGAGAATCAACATGACTTCAAGCCAACTGAGGCTACATAGTGAGTTCAGGGCCAGCCTGAATTACTACATAGAGAGACTCTGTCTCAAAAAAAAAAAAAAAAAGCGCTTGAAGCCAGGCATGGTGGCACATGCCTATAACCCCAGCTCAGGAGGCTGAGGCAGGAGGATTGCCATGAGTTCAAGACCAGCCTGAACTACACACTGGAGACCCTGCCTCAATACCGACCCCAAAACAAAACCAAACCACCCAGCTCTTGAAAAAGAGAAAAAAAAAATACAGGGGGTTTAGGATATAGCTCAGAGGCAGAGTATGAGCCTCACATGCTCAAGGCCCTGAATTTGACTGAAAGATGAGCAATATGTTGATAAGAAAACATTTCAGATAAAAAGAACAAAAATAATTATGTCAAAATTTATAGGCTATACTAAAAGATTAGAGATGGCAAATTAACAGCCATTCTTACCCGTGAAAAGCATTTCCTGAGTACCAGCAGTAGTTCCTGTTTCACTGATAAAAAAGAAGTAACTGCCTGCTTCATATTTTCAGCAAATCTAACCACCTACCTGTATTTGTACCTAGATCTTCTTTATAAGAAAGGAGCTGTCCCTTCAATTGGTAACTCAATCTTTTCCTCTTCTGCCCACCCCAGGGGATCAATGCTGCAAGCCTCCAGCATCTGACCTTTCCCTCTTCTAATATATCATTTGAATTGGTTTTAAACATACATTGTCTTCCCTCTTAGGAAAACACGGCTCCTTGATCTGTTTCCTTCCAGGTTCAGCCCCATCTCTGCTCCTGTTTGCATTCTCAGAGCCTTCTACAGTCAACACTTCAGTGGAAGTAGCTCTTGTCAAAATCACCAGTGACTACTGTGGTGTCAAGTCCAACGGTTATCTTAGTCCTCATTTAATTCTTTTTTTTTTGGACAGGGTCTTGCTTTGCAGTGCAGGCTGGCCTTGAACTCACTGTGTAGCCCAGGCTGGCCTCAAACTCTCGGAGATCCTCCTGCCTCAGCCTCCACCCCCACCAGCCCCCATGCTGGGATTACAGGCGTGTGCCACCAGGCCTGGCCTCAGTCCTCATTTTAGGCAACCTACACAGCAACATCTGATACTGTTGATTACTTTGTTTCCTGACAAGTTACCTGGCCTTTAGAATATTTTTCTCTGGGCTCATCTTTCACCAGTCTCTCCTCACTCTCTTTTGCAAGTTGCTCCTTCTATCTTTATTCATTTTTTTGTTTGTTTTTTGTTTTTTTGAGACAGGGTCTCACTATGTAGTTGAGACTGACCTGGAACTATGTAGCCCAGGCTGGTCTCAAACTCACAGCGATCCTCCTGCCTCAGCCTCCCGAGTGCTGGGATTACAGGCGTGCGCCACCATGCCCAGCTCTATCTTTATTCTTGAACCTCTTTTCTGTCTACATTTCCTGTCACTCCTTTGTTTCTAGGTGACCTCATGCATCTGTGGCTTTAGAGATCACCTGTATACTGACAATTCTTAAATTGGTGCGTCAGACCTGGACCTCTCCCATGAACTCCAGGCTTTTCTACTACCATCTGTGTGTCTGGGTTCTCAAAGCTTATGGACAAGGGCTGAAGGGCTGGGGATTTAGCTTAGTGGTTCCACTGCCTGCCTTGCAAGTGCGAAGTCCTGAGTTCAAATCCCCATTACCCCCGCAAAAAACAAAAACAAAAATTTATGGCCAAGCTGGGCGTGATGGTGCATGTCTGCAATCACACTCTGGGAAGCTGAGACAGGAGAATTACAAATTTGAACCAATTTAGTAAGACCTTGTGTCAAAAATTTTAAAAAGGGCCAGAGATTTAGCTCAGTGGTGCCACCACCTGCCTTGCAAGTGCAAGGTCCCAAATTCAATCCCCAGTAACACCCCTCAAAAGGAAAAATCGAAAAAAGGCTGCAGATGTAGCTCAGTGTGAAGGCCCTGGGTTCAATTTCCCAGTATGAAAAATGAAAACAAAAAAATCCCACAGGCATAACTAAAATTCTGGTTCCCATTTGCTCGTTGTTTGCGTTTTGGTACCAGGGATCAAACTCAGGACCCTGTGCTTGCCAGGCAGGTGCTGAGCCACATCCCCGCTCTCCATTCGTTTGTAATAGGACTGCTCCCTGCCTCCTCTCCTGGTCCATCTGAGGAAACGGTCAGTCCTCTGGTTCACGTATTCTCAAGGTGGACCATATCACACCTAAGGGAATGAAAATTGCCTTTCAGGGGATTAAAAAAAATCTTAGGGGGCTGGGGATTTAGTTCACTGGCACAGCATCTGCCTGGCAAGCACAAGGTCCTGAGTTCCATCCCCAGTCCCGGAAAGAAAAAGCCTTAGATATTAAAAATGATTGGTGGCCTGTTAAAACTCATTTCATTTCATTTTCTTAGGCATCATATAAGCCACACGGCTCTGGGTATACACAGTCGGTGTTAGTAAATGCTGAGGCTGTGTTTGGAAGACACATTTGAGTGTTCTGCATTGAAGTCATATTGTAGGAATTACCCTGCCTACCTGTGGCCACTGCCCATCATGTGCTTCCTTAATGTTATGTTTGGTTCTCGAGCCTCCCCTTCTTTTGTAATCTTGGAATTTGAACCCTGGGCCTTCATACTGACACCTTCCCTAGCAATTTTTATTTAGAGACAGAAGCTCACAAAATCGCTAAGTGGCCCAGCATGGGCTCAAATTAGTGATCTTCCTGCCTCAGCCTCCCAGAGTGCTGGGATCACACACTTGCTTCATATTTCTCTCCCTTTCTTTCTTTTCTCTTTCTCCCCCTGCCCCCTTTTCGGACTTTCAGAGATCCTTCTGACTCAGCCTCCCAAGCACTGGGGTTACAGGCATGCACCACCATGCCCAGCCAAAGACATCATGTTACAGTAATACATTCATATCCACGTTTATAGCAGTACAATTAATAATAGCTAAGTCTCGGAAACAGCCTATATGCTCATCAACATATGAATGGACAAGGAAAATTACACACAAGTAAGTACTACTCTCTCATAAAGGATAAATGTGAGTCATTCGTAGCTAAATGAATGCACGTTGAGACCATATTAAGTGAAATAAATGAGACACATACTTAAATATCATGTTTTTTCTTATATGAGAAACCAAAAATTATATAAACAGCAAAACAAAAGATAGATGATATAAAGTGAGGAGAGCTTTTTTAATTGGGAAAGGGAACAAGAGATAAAAGGAGGGGGAGTCAGCTGGGCACACACCTGTAATCCCAGCACTTAGGAGGGAGGCTGAGGCAGGAGGGTTGCTGCAAGTTTGAGGCTAGCCTGGACTACATAGTGGGACCTTGTGTAAATAAACGATTAAATAAGGACAGCAGATGGAGGGAAGGGAAATGGAATTAGAGAACGGAGACAAAACTTTTGCAAATGAGAAGGGTATCAAGAGATGGAAGAAGCACTGATGGAGGGGAGGGCACAGGGGAATTCAGATGTGTTACGTACATGTACCAATCACCCAGAGTGAATGTAATCATTATATACTGCAAACATGTACTATTAGTACTTTTTTAAAAATTGTATTGTTTTCATTGGGAATGCAGAAACCTCCAAATCTGTCCAGAGGATTTACACGGTCAGATGTGATGGAAAAATTATTCTGGGGCTGTGCTGATCAACGTAATCAGTATCTATGGCTCCTCTGTTACACATTCATGAGATTCCACTACAACTTGAGAAAGCGAGGTCACTTTTTGCCAAATTTTCCTCGCCTCGAAAATTTTACGGGATCATTTTTCGTCCCAATTATTTTTCTCTTCTATAATCCTAATGGTCCGCGGGCTGTGAATGGTACCGTCCAAACTGAGTGCGTAGTAGTTTGATGAGACTGTGTAGTAAATAGCTTTCCAGGCCTGGCGCATGCGCACTATCCGTGTGGCTGTAGGATGGCTGTCAGCCATTTTGTCGGGCGTCCCTACAGTAGTTACCGGCGCCAGCGACCATAGCCGCCGGAAACATTAGTCCCTGAACGGTGGGAATTTCCACGATCTTATTTTGTGAGTTTAACACCTCTAAGAAAGAGAGGTTCCCCACCTCCTAGCAAAAGAGGCGGAGCGCAGCGCTGGGGCCCCACCCTCAACCCGCTCGCCTCAACCAACTACTTCACCCTTACAGTTTTTGCCCCTAGACTGCTACACGCCGAACTGCTGCGCAGGCGCACAGAGAAACAGCGCTTCCTAGGCTCTCGGGGCTCGCCGTCTCTTGCGCGCGCTTCTCGGATACCTCTCTTGATTGGTCAGATTGCCCCGCCACTCCCCAATGCTGCAAGGTTGAGAAGGAAGCAGGGGGGGCGGGGCCAAGGTGCGCTTGCGCGGTGCTGTGGCCGTCCTCAATGCTGTTGCGTTGCAAAAAAAAAAAAACCCTGACTAGGTAGCCTTGGGCCTTTTCTGTGCTTGAGACTCTAAAGGACAGAGAAAGCTCTCTGCAACTGAAGGGGCAGTCGGGTAGTATTAAATTTAAGCTATTAACAGCTGCCGTGGCTTACAGGAATGTGGGTAAAGGGGCGAGGAAGGGCTTTAGCGCCGATAGCCTAAGAGTATAAAACCATAGGTTTCGGCGCCAGGCGTTTGCAGGTCCTACTCGCGCGTGATCCTACCCTTATGACTGACTGGTTTAAACACGACCCCTGAACAGTGTCGATAAGCCCGCAGCCCCTGCCCGCGCGCCCCGCGGCGGTCCTCCCGTGCCTCCC